ACCCTTGCATTCACCCAAAACAGCAAACAGAGAAGAATAAATAGAACAGGAACAGAGCAGCCCTCCAGACTCCACTAAAATAGAACAACCCTCCAGACTCCAGTGCCCTGCATTAAAATAAGCAATCAGAGAAGGTAAATAGAACAGAAATACATAAAAAAAAAACCCTCAGTAGTCAAAACATAGCAACACTAAATTAGCACTACAAAAAAATATATAGAGTTAATAAAAGTAAACAAAACTGTAAAAAAGAAACCTTGCATTCTTATTCCTCCGTTGTGTTCTCATTGTCATTGACATCTGGTGTAGATTATTATTATTATTATTATTATTATTATTCTTATTATTATTATTATTATTATTATTATTATTATTATTATTATTATTATTATTATTATTATTATTATTATTATTATTATTATAGGTATCTTAGAGAATAAGTTAGAAATCTAATATTATTATAAGAGATCTTGTCTTGTTGGACAAGTTAGGAATAGAGTTATGAGCCTTATTTAAAGGACTCCTCATCTATTGTTTTATTCAATTGATTTTGAATATGAAATAAGATATTGAAAGTTTTGCGTGTTTTACGAGAGAGTATCTCGTTTACTCGTTTATCCTTCCCATTCGTACGCTTTCCCCTACATCAGTTGGTATCAGCAGTCAGTACGATCGCGATGCCGCCGGGACGACAAGATGCCGCAAACAAACAACGTGACGCAACCTTCAACGATCGGTTTCAACATATTGACTACCGATTTCAAGAGTTGGACGTGCGTTTCACAGATTGGTTTGCCGATCTTTCGACGGGGATCGAGGATTGGCATTTGACGCTTAACAACGTGGTTGTTTCAGAATTGCAAACGAACTGCGATGGGGCTGTGGGCCGTGGCTTTCGCGGGGGAGACATAAGCGGTTGTGGGGGACGCAGCCATGTCGGGGCGCCCCGACAGTGGTTCCCGCCACCTCTGAACGGCTTCGTGGACGGCAACGATTATGGCAGCGATAGGGGTTGGCGCAAGGAGGCAGCCTTCGCTGGCGGATATCGTACCCGACACGATTGGGGACTTGATCGTGAATTTGGTCCGTGGGAGGGCCTGTTTCGCGTTAACATCTCCGAATTCGATGAAGAGCAAGTTGACGGGTCATTGTACGATGGTCCGCCTGTATTTGATGAAGGACCCGAAGAGGTGGAGGATCGTCTTCCCGACAAAGTGGACGATCTCTACGACGATCCGCCGATTTTCGTTGAGGAGCCTCCAGGGCTAGAGGATTACCATCATGTTTCGAGTTTCAAAATTCAGTTGTTGGAAGAAATAGTTCTTCTATTGCGCAGGCCCGAGCTTTTCTCCCATGAGAATTTGTTGCGACCTGACAAACAGATGTTGTTTTTTGGTCCCCACGGTGACTTCAGTATTCTGTGTGTGACTGCAGCATATATGCCTTTATATGAATTTCAAGGGGGCAATACTATGGAGGTGAGGTATTCGACAGTCGTGTTCGATCGGGGGAAACGGCAGGGGTTTACTATCATGGGTTCGACACCATACACCGGCCACGGATGCGCATCGGCTTCGAGGGCGAAGCCTTCCGAACCGGAGGAGAATGGTGTAGATTATTATAATTATTATTATTATTATTATTATTATTATTATTATTATTATTATTATTATTATTATTATTATAGGTATCTTAGAGAATAAGTTAGAAATCTAATATTATTATAAGAGATCTTGTCTTGTTGGACAAGTTAGGAATAGAGTTATGAGCCTTATTTAAAGGACTCCTCATCTATTGTTTTATTCAGTTGATTTTGAATATGAAATAAGATATTGAAAGTTTTGCGTGTTTTACGAGAGAGTATCTCGTTTACTCGTTTATCCTTCCCATTCGTACGCTTTCCCCTACATCAACATCGCTAATTCCAACACCTTGCAAAGCTATTATTATAGAAAATAAAATAAAAAAGTCAGTCAAGTAATATATAACACAATTAATGTCAAATAAGAACACATTACATTAGAGTACTGTTGGGAAAAATACGCTGAAATTTCCATGAAGTCGGATCAATAAAAGTGAAAAGAAAAAAAATTAGATACACCAAATTGATAACGGAGTTCGGCCAATAATGCCTACGTCTCCGGACTACTGCAGATATTTTATTGGGAAAAAGAAATACACTCGTGTTTACAAAACACTCTCAAACTCACTCACAACTCACAACACAAATACACACAGAAGCTAAAACTTTTTGCTTCTTGTTCACTCTCTTTCTCTCTTTTTCTCTCTTGTGTTAGTGTGTATTTCCATCTGAATTTGCTCCTCTATTTATAGCAGAGGAGTGCATCAATTGTCAACAAAATACTGCTGCCCACGTTCAACCATCATATTAGTTTTATATATTTTATTTTCAATGATGGTTGGTGCCATCAATTTTGCTTTTCAATAGTGGTAGGCTAGCAGCCTTTTTTGACTTCACAATCTCCCATTTGAGGACTGATTTCAATCTGTCCTCACACCTCAATTACTGCAGTAGTCTTCTTCGGTCTGTCATTCTAGCAGACCAACTGAAGTTGAGCACAACTTCAGTTTGTCAATGGTCACCACCTTCGTTAGCATATCTGCCGGGTTCTTGCTTCCAATAATCTTCTTCAAAGTCAACACTTCATCCTCAAGAAGAGATCTCATGAAATGATATCGTATGTCAATGTGCTTAGTTCTGGAGTGAAACACTGAGTTCTTTGCCAGATGTATTGCACTCTGACTGTCACTGTGCAAGACACTCTCTTTCTGAGTGAAACCTAACTCTGCTAACAATCCTTGAAGCCATATCAATTCTTTACTGGCTTCTGTCACTGCTACATACTCAGCCTCTGTTAGAGCAACAATCTTTTGTATCCGTGACATCCAACTAACAGCTGTAGCTCCGACAGTGAAAACATAACCGGTGGCGCTTCTTCGGTGATCAACTTCGCCTCCGAAATCTGCATCTACGTAGCCCTGTAACTTTAGATCTCCTTTTCTAAAATACAGACATTTTTCTGTTGTGCCTCGTAGATATCTCAAGATCCATTTGACTGCTTCCCAATGAGCTTTTCCTGGTTTTGACATAAACCTGCTCACAACTCCCACTGCATGGCCAATGTCTGGCCTCGTACAGACCATAGCGTACATCAAACTTCCAATGGCTGAAGCATAAGGAATCTTAGCCATGAACTCTTCTTCTTCCTTTGTTGGAGAAGACTGATCCTTGGATAGACGAAAATGGCTGGCCAAAGGTGTACTGACTGGCTTGGTCTTGTCCATGTTAAATCTCTGCAAAACACGGTTGATGTACTCTGCCTGAGACAACTGCAAAACTCCCTTTTGCTTATCTCTCGTGATTTGCATTCCAAGAATCTTCTTCGCTGGGCCTAAGTCCTTCATGTAAAATTCTTTTGACAACTGCATCTTCAAATTTCTGATGTCTTTCATATTTGATCCTGCTACTAACATGTCATCGACATAAAGTAGCGATATGATATAGTTGGACTCATATTTCTTGAAGAAACAACAGTGATCAGCATTGCACTTCTAGAAACCTTCCTTGTGCATGAAGCTCTCAAACTTCATATACCACTGTCGTGGAGCTTGTTTCAGGCCGTACAAGCTTTTCTTCAATCTGCACACCATATTCTTCTTTCCGTCTGAAAAACTGGTATCAGAGCCAGATTGTTAATTCTGTATTTTTATGTGTGGGTTACTATTCCGTGAACAGTGAAAAACGAGAATAGTGTTAAATTTGTTGGCGCTACAAATTTATCTACCGACGTACTCTGATACCAGTTGTTGGAAAAAATACGCTGAAATTTCCATGAAGTCGGATCAATAAAAGTGAAAAGAGAAAAAATTAGATACACCAAATTGATAACGGAGTTCGGCCAATAATGCCTACGTCTCCAGACTACTGCAGATATTTTATTGGGAAAAAGAAATACACTCGTGTTTACAAAACATTCTCAATCTCACTCACAACTCACAACACAAATACACACAGAAGCTAAAACTTTCTGCTTCTTGTTCACTCTCTTTCTCTCTTTTTCTCTCTTGTGTTGGTGTGTATTTCCATCTGAATGTGCTCCTCTATTTATAGCAGAGGAGTGCATCAATTGTCCACAAAATACTGCTGCCCACGTTCAACCATCATATTAGTTTTATATTTTTTATTTTCAATGATGGTTGGTGCCATCAATTTTGCTTTTCAATAGTGGTAGGCTAGCAGCCTTTTTTGACTTCACAAGTACCTCCGTACTTGCAATGTCTTCTAGGCTCTCTTCAAAGACTTGGTCCACTTGGACTTCTTTTTTCTCAACTAATCTTGAGCACATATAAGAGCCTCCACAACTTTAGGAGTTAAAGAACTCCTATAATCATCAAGAACACGACCGCCGTTGCTAAAAGCGGACTTCGATGCCACAGAGAGACGAGAATCGCCAATACATCC